CCTCCGGGGATTACTATTTGCTTACAATTTTAATTCGGGGAAAATGTTTCCGAAAGCAGCAACCCTACAAAAATAGAGCCAACCTCTCCCGCTCGAAGGTTCATCGCAGGTTGATTGATAAATTAAAACCTCGTTCACTCATACACGGAAAGCAGTTAATGACCCAATATCCGCTCCGCTGGTATATGTTTGCGCTTGTTTAACAAATATTTATCGCTCGGAATGTTGTGCCGGCGTTAAACGCGAAATACAGAATCATCAAAGGCTGCGTTAAAAGCGCTGACGATCCTCCATGTTTTATTCGAAAATGTTTGCATTATTAAAGACTTTTTGAATTAATTAAATACAATACACATTGAATCAATACACATTGAATTTATTGAACACTATTTTATACCCAGACGCAATGGATGAATTTTTGATAAGCAATTAATAAAAAGCATGTCACTTAATTTTTGTATCTAAAAAGCTGTGTCAAATTTTATTCTTAATATGTTTCGTGCTATGTTTTATATAAAATTGCATCTATTAAGCCGTGACAAAGCTCAGTCACTAGGCGCTCACTTTTAATTCGATCTTTTCAGATTCAGTGCGGTGAAAGAAAACATTGTGCGGAAACCTGCACACTCAAATTGTAATGAAAAATGTGCAAAGGAGGCCTGTGCCCGGCAATAGGGCCTATATAACCTATATAGCGTGTTACTTTACTTTTTTCAAATGCTCACCTTAAATTATCATCAGTTTAAATGCATGTATAGACAACAACCAAAATTGATGTGTCAATTTTTAAAATAGAAAAAAATTTCAATGTTTCCAACCAAACGCTAAATGTTAACAGGTGAAGGTCGAGAATAACAATGTTTGTTAACCCCAGACAATACCAGTTATTACGAGCAACTAAATCACCGCAAAAATGCAGCGGGAATATAGACGAAGGCATTATAGGGTAAATTGTACAGAATTATTTCACTGATAATTCGGCCGAAGCGGTGCCCCGCGGCGAAAGTGCATAGCAAACAAAATAACTCCGTGATTGCCAGCCAAGATGATATGATTGCATGACTTACAGGCTGCGTTAGACTTTAGTACGGACGTGCACTACATAGAGCGGCGGACCCAAGACAGCGCCTTGGGGCACCCGCACAAATTTTACCGCAACTAATGCGCTGTTTATGCTGATACGTAGTGCGGGTAGCGATTTCCAGTCTCTGTAACGCTTGCAATTTGAATATAAAACGTGTTCAGTATTACATTTGGCTTACATGCCTTTAAACAGTTAATAGATAGTTCTTTGGCAGATTATGTAAAATAGTTTTAATAAAAAAATAATAAGCCAACTTGTAACATAGGTTTGCAATACTTTCATCTTTTTTTTGTTACAAATTATACTATGACATGTGCAATATTCTACATCGTATTACGCTTTTTCCAAGGGAAGAAGATACCAAACGCTTTTGTTAATAAGGCTCACAACAAAGAGAATATTAGATGTCGACCTTACGGTACTTGGAAGCTTAAGTGCAAGTCAAAGGGGTCTGGTATATAAGTCGTTAGTCTCAAACGCTATGGAAACAGTAGAGAAGAATTAATCACCGTTGACGCCGACCGTTTATTTATTGGTGAATGGGGAGTCATGCCGTGTCGTGTGGGCTTACCGTCTCGCAGTAAAAGATTAACGTTGTGTTTTTTCGTTATAAGTTAAAAATGAACCAGACGCAATTCAAAATACACTATAAAACGTGGTTTTTGTGTTACAATTTAAATTTTCGCACACCAAAGCATCCAAGGTTATGTTTAAATTAGTGTTACCATACAACGCAATAAAATACGTTAATCTATATTCTTTAAAGATTGGTCAAGTAACTTAAGCTTATATAAAATGACCATTAGAAAATGATACACTTAATACTGGTAAGCCATTGGAATTAAAACCTCAAGATCGTGAGCCGACTTAATAAGCTCTAGCACACGTAGCACTTGAGCCAAGGTAAATGGTTTTGCGTTTATGTGGAAGTTAAAACACAGTTAGCCGAGCCGGCGACTTCTTTGTCTCATGTGCTTAATGGGGATCTTCGGAGCAATCATCGTAAAACTCAACACTACTTCAATGTTTCGGACAATGTTCAGTTTTAACTTCAACGTCGAGCGCTCACTCCGGGAAACGCTCGTCGAAAGCTAAAACAATTCACGGGGAGCGGAGAAGTGCACTACGCTAATCAAGGCGCCGGCTGACCGTTCGGAATACGGCCGGCTAAGGCTTTAAATTAACCACGTTAAGATTTACAATCGCTTGACGGGGCCCAATTGTTAAATTTGTACGCATTGAACGCGCCTCTTCTATTACGGCCTGGTCGTAAAAATGGATAATGCCGAGTGCGAAGCCGATGTACCAGCCGAGCTTACATATTTCTTCAATTAGAGGACACACGTCACGCACTTTGCCTCTTATGTGTATATACATAAGGAAGAATTTACATTACAGCGGTCCCATGGGTCGCGGAAACTATTTCCGTTTGACAACAATGAAACCATAGATAGTCTGGACAGTCATAATCCATTTGCAATTAACGCGAGAGCGTTTATTTCAAACCTAAAATGTACTAATGCAAGCTTTCAATGCAAGATTTACTAGACAATTTGATACCCGGGATTTTATAAAAATAATAATTAACGAAACCATTAAAGCCTTTATAGGCTTTATAGTCTTTTAACGATATGTTAGCCATTAAACTAAAAGATTACGTTGCATAAACTAACAGTAAATACAAATTTTGAATTCGCAAATTAATTTACAATCAATATGTCATCTAAGCAAGTCTTATTAGACTTTTCCGAAAACAAGATGAAATAGAAATCAAATTGTTTGCAAAATATATCGATGAACCAATGATGGAATTTAGTAATAACCTTTTGGCTGAAAAATTTAAAAACAGTCAGAGTGTAAAAAGTTTGTGAACAAAATGCCCATCAGACTAAAGGACAGTCTAGAACCAAACACTGACTAAGAAGAGTCCAGTATATGTCCCATTCTTCGCGTTTTGCTGCATACATTGACTTTTCGATTTATTTATATTTCATTGACTTGATTTGTGTTTTAGCAACCAAAGTAAACTGCTCTTTATAAAATATAACTCGTTATTATTCATACGATTTTCTTTTCATTGTTACGGTATGATTTAAATCGGTTATAATTTTAATTCGACCGTAAACCATTTCAATAATCTGACAGAGAGAATTTTGAGATGTTGCAATTTGAGTTTTCGAAAGGCGTTAAGTGCGGACATATTTCTCAAAAAAAAAAAAAAAACGAACTGCGAAAACGCCAGTAAAGATTAAAAAGATCTGGACAGATTATGTATTACGCAGTCGGGCCGAGGCAATAATTCAAGGCATTGCATCGACGGCTCCGCGAAAATATAACTCAATTTAATACGCGGAAAGGTACGACGAAATCGAATAAATCCCTCCATCGGGACGACCGAGTCACGAAGGGAGCGAAACATTCGCTATTGGCGGGACCGGCTGCAGCGGCGATTCTTTTTTTTTTATTTCTTTTAGCCGAGACACGCGACTTTTGCCCGATTGATCCGCACGATTTCAATGGCGGCAAAGATTAACCGATGCATGGGGATTTTTATAAAGTTTATTAGGTTACTTTGTGTTAATCAATGTGGCAGCATCGAAATAGAAAACGAACGTCATTAAATATTGACGTGAAAAAATTGCGGAGATAACCTATTTACTAACTGTACATCACTAATTAGATTTAAACGTGATATTATGCAAACATTTGCAAGTCGTGCGCGTTTAAATGATAAATAAAAGTGTTTCTTTCGATTGATAACCATTTTAAGATTGCAGTGTAAAATAAGTTACAACAACGGCAATGTAATATTAAATCGAAAGGACTGTACTTTGCGAGGAATGTAAAGTTTCCGCCAAGTAAAGATCTTGGAGTCGCGAGTCTCGCCTCAGGCACGTTTTGAAAAACCCTTATTCCCACGATTATATTATCAGTTGAAAGAGAATAAAGTACACCAGCTACTTATTAAATTGTTATTTATAAACAGAGAAGAAACAGAAAACAAGGAAATTACCTGTCTCTAACATTTACTTTTGTGAAAATTATATTTCAATTATAATAACGCCTTGTTGTAGCTGTTATTCAGAGGTGAATATTTATTTTAGATTTTTAAATATTTTTTTACTCAATTATCGTTGAAAATAATATTTTTGATAGGGCAAGTACAGATTTCGACCACACAAAGAAATAATATCTATAAGAATAAGATCAAACTATAAAGATCGCTAAAACTGTTCAAATGTTACGATTTCATAAAATTATGAAATACCAGTGCTTAGGCAGTTCCCATCGACACAATTTAATGCCCATTTAAAACAAAATGGCGGATGCACTATCGGCCATCGGTACATTTTAATTGGCGGGACGTGTTATCGCGCATTTGTTTTATGGGATGGCGGGAAAAGATGCTTGCCGATTTATTGCCATTTGCAAATACAATTTCGATCCACTGTGAATTGTGAAATATTGCTAGTGTTGCCGAACGCAAATACGATTCCTTTCTGAAACAATGTGACAAAAGTTCCTACCTTAATTGCAAGCGCATCATAGATGATTTTAATTAGGCTTAATGAATTTAAGGTTCAGTCATTTACTTTTTTAAATTGATAAATTCACCCATTTCGTGTTGTATGTTTTAAAGCTTTAAATGTATCCTAGAACGGATACTTATTAGGATAAAATTTTTGATAAACAGAAATTGACACAAATAAAAATAAATATAATAATAAAAATTAAAAAAAAACTTGTTTCCCAATTTACTGTCGAAGCAATGAAGCGAACAGACTTACCAAACAAAACTTAAATGTTAACTATACTTATATATCTACGTTTAATTAATAGTAATTTTCTCCCTATTTCGAAAAACATGTCATATCTATCTTGCGGCCGCGTCAACTAAAATATCATGACGGTTTCACACCCCGTCCTTTCTAACGCAATCGGAAGCCGGGTAATAGCGGAACGATCCCGGCGAGATATCCACCGGCGGGGCAGGCGAGCGTGAAACCTCGAAATTGCTGGCCATTAGCGTATCTGATCTTTGGCCCGCCACCGCAGCGGCCAGTACCGTTACCGAGCAGCTGGCACCCGGCGACTGGTTCCCCGGACGCTCGAATTTAAAAGTCGCGCATTTCATATTGGGCGACCGAATTCGATGCGATAGAATTCCGCCTTGACGTTCGCATCGTTCCCGCGTCACCGCGTCGCCACAGACTATATACGGGACAGGCTATGTAAAGAGTTGTACGTGGAATTTAATAACAGCCCGATTAAAATAATTTTAATGAGCTCTGAAAAATGTACTGCGAAGAAAAAACTCGAATCTATACCAACCAGAGACAATTCATTCGAGTTATGATTGCTTTTTAACGCCGCGATGAATAATATTTCACGTCAACAACGACCTGGACGAGTTATAACATTCCCAACTGCCCATTTTACGAGCGCTTCTACACTCACTAAGGGCGTAAACCACTTTTTCAGCCGATCGAATCGCCCGATCTCATCTACGATCTGATAAGGAGTAAATTACAGAAAACACGACGCTACGATTTGTTACGGGCGGACCGAGACTAGGCGACGCACTCGACGACATCTGGATGGGACAAGACGTTTTCCGTGGGAGGATATTGCGTTTCGTTCCCCGCTTTTGTTCGCCCGATTGATTGACGCCCGACGTTGATTTATTGTGTTTCGATGCGTTTACCCCAGTTCTCAGCGCGGTTAACATTTTAGTGGGACTTTTAATTTGCCTATTATGGGAAGCGACATCCAACAAGGTAGTGTTCTAGGAGGAGGAAAGTACAATTGCAAAATTTCATGTGAACTGGATTATTAATGAATGATTCTCCTTAAAATGATTCCTTTATAGTGATAATAGCAGTCACACTGTCTTAACTGTTACGAACGCTTTACAGGCAAGGTCTTAAAGTTAATATTCATGCTTTTTTACATAAATAAAAATATTGTAGGACAGAAAAAATATGAAAAACATGGAAAGGGGATATTTTTCAAGGAATTTCAACACTTACAAATGTGATCGCGAATAATGAATACATTGCAAATATGTTCAAAATGCCAGACACATCATTTGCATTTACTCGGCAACGTGTACGTCAAAAGTGGTGCTAAGTCGTAACACGAAGGTTTAAAAAAATTTGGTGTCTTGAGCGAATGATGTAGGCCATCAAGCCGACGGGGTACGTGCGCAAACAAAAACAAGTTTATGTTTTTCCATCGCGTAGTGAGTGAGGGCAAACAGAGCGTACGTGCGGTTATGCGATGCTCCTTAGCTTTGGATGACAAATCGTGACGAGGCAGCGGTGGGACCGCACAAGTGGCTTGTGAAATCGGAACGAGAATACGCCGAATATACTAGACCTTCCGATGCCTTGTTTTAAGTAGTTGGTCTTTACTATTTTGACTTGAGAAGATGGTAAATGACACAACAGAACGAGAATACGCCAAATACACTGGATATTCTAAGACCTTATTATTCGTAGATGGCCTTTACTACTTTGTAGTGGAGAACGCGGTAAACGACACAAAAGAATGAGAATACGCCGAATAAACTAGATCATCTGATCCCTTACGTAGATGGTCTTTACTATTTTGTAGTGGATAAAGTGGTAAACGACCGAATAAACTAGATCATCTGATGCCTTACGTAGATGGCCTTTACTATTTTGTAGTGGAGAAGATGGTAAATTGCACAACAAGCCCAACAAGCCCAATAGGCATCTGCAAATCCTTCGTCTAATCTTATATAGATTGATCTTCAAGTGGTTATTCCACAATTACCTAGCACACTAAGAAGTACCACGGCGTCACAGAAGACCAGCGTGAAGTGGAAGTATGCCTGTATACTTTCGCGTTTCCTTTAGTGATTGAGGTATCCGAGGGCCACTATTTATAAGGTTTTCAATGCATCTGCAAGCTTTTACATTTTGTAGATGTCCATGGGCGGCACTAACAACTTAATGTCAAGTGAATCCTTAGCCTTATTATTGTTACTCGTAATTTGATAAACAATTATGTCTTATAATTTGATAATGCAAACATTGGGAATAGAGAGAAAGAATAGAAAGAGCGACAGAGATAAGAGACAATTCAAAAAACATTAACCATGCACTAACGTGACAAATGTCTTCGTTTACAATATCTTCTTCATTCTCAAATAGACAGCCGCCACCCAGGTGCTTAATTAATGGAATTCGGTAACAGCAATCAGAAAGCTTTCGTCCAACCCGACTTACGGAGATGTACGACAGAATCTGAGAGCCGACGCCTAATTGCAGGGGGCTTTAATTGAATGTTATTGAATTAGTGGCACACCTTTCGCCTGCAGGTGCTGTTTGTAGATCTCGAAATCCGATACCTTCCCAAATAGACGTTGTAACCGACCTTAGTGATGTGTACGCCCGTATTGGTATGTTGTATAGCTAGATATTAGAGCGCGAGATATTTATTTGAAAAGGTATGGTGAGAAGTTTCTTTAAGCATTTTCACATTAATATAAATTAGTTTATTTTGCTATGAAATATAAATATGCGACATATAATATAAATGTGTTCTGTTTCTACAGGTTCTAAACAACAGGTTGTAATGTATCTTTTTCGCCCACCACAGATCGGCACAACATGTTCTTTCCTTCCACTTTCCTCCATCAGCCGTCATCTCAATACTCACCCCTTTCGCAAACATATCATTCTTCACACAGTCCATCCAGATCTTAGTTTAGTTTAGGCTCTTCAAGACCATAGTTAATAAGCTATAGGCCTTTATTGGATACTGTTTTTGCCATCAAGTAATACATAATCATCATTAGGCGCTACTGCAGTTATGGGTAGGTCAGTTTTGGTCGAACATATAATGTATTCTTAAGAATTCACTGAAAATTATCTCTAACGAACTTCTATTTTGTTCACGTTTAAAATTTGACATAAGAATGCTGACAGTGATTGATTGTTTGTAAGTATGGAGAAACGAAAACGTTAGGAGAGTTAATATTTTTAGCTGTTAAATCTGTGCTGTAGAATCAACAAAACGAATCCTTTTCGTAGGTACTTAATATTGTCATTAAACAATGTTCATGTAGCTAACAACTGATATCCAAAGTTTCAAGCCTACTGAAGTATTATTATATATGAAGCAAAGATTATAAAAATACAAAAGAATGGTATAAAGGAATTTTTAACTTTCTGTTTTTGTTTTGTAAATTGTGACCTCTGCAAAAATGAGTCATTGAGTGTAAATGCAACGGAAACGTTCAGGTTCTTTCTATTATTTACTTGTGAGCTTTCAGCGAGCTCTTTTACGCTCGACCTTTCAAAAAACAATGTGGCTTCTAAAAGTAGACTATGAAACTATATTAAACGTCATAAAATAATATTTTATTTTATTTTACACATCAACTAACTACCTACTATCATTACGGGCATTACCTAATGCGATGGTGAAATTCTAATACAATTAAAAATATACATAATTATAATGAAATTTCTCACATGCACGTGGTGAGCCTACCATTCCATTGATGAAAATAACCCAGTGTTTAGATTTTTTGCGTCAAATTACAATAATTCTGCCTATGCGATCGCGGGAATCATTGCAAAGTGAATTGATTTTTACTTTGCGTTTATTTATTTTTACTATGCGATTACACAGCAGCGAAATCACTTTTGGCGGTCAAGATTAAAGCGAGCCACAGACACTTCGTGATAAAAAATGAGAAGTAAAGTAAAAACAAGATTAAGAAGTAACTCATTCTTTCGAATCCAAATATAAGCGAGAAAAATATTTCTCTATCGTTAAACGCCAGCGTTTGTATGTACTTTGTAACCTGTATATTTTTCTAGTTTCTTTTTACTTCTATTATATTCTTTCTTTTATATTACTTATTTATATATTTTCTTCTTTCTTTTGTACTTTAGGATACTGCATTGTACGCTGTGAGTGTGGTGGAGCTTTAAATAAACACATTGCTACCAGTTGATGAATCCATCTGATTTAATAATCAAGAAATCACCGTTCGCGTAACCATTCCGTTCGCCTCGCCTAATCACACTCCTTTCGTAACTCCAAGTCAAGCGTGCATAAAGAAGTTTTACTTCAAGAAATTGCACGAATCCGCAGCTGCGGATTGCATCTCACAGCTGCGGGCGGTAGGTACACTTTAATCGCGCAGAACCGCACAGGATCCAATAAACGCAACGCAAAAGCGTACGGCGGAAAGCATTCCGTTCCACAAACCAATATTGTTGTTTCCCCGCCTGTGTTTGCTTTAGCGGCTTCCGCGTGAATGGCCCATCCAATTGGATTTTTGCCGCTGTCTTTGATGGGCTCGCGGGCGGAATTCGCCGTTATTGCGTGGATCCGTCGCATCGGTGCTGGTACGAGTGAATATTGTTTTTCTTTTAATGTCAAAAAGTGGGAAACGATCTGGCAGTTCACCTGATGTTAAGCGATAGTTAAGTGAATGCGTTGCCATCTATAAATGGAGTGTGCCAATAAAGTGACATTTATTGAAATATGCGGAGTTTATTTTGATTATCCTAAACCCAGCCGACCCCAATCCCTAACTCCCCACCCTAATCCCCTCACGGTAATAATTGATTTGATTTTTATTCCGCTTTTGACTAAAAGTACGCAGTTCAGTACGAAGTTCATTCACTTTATGTTGTACAATGTAAATTGTACTTTTCAAGTCCAAGAATAAGGTGGTTAATTTGTTTGGTCTTAAGGATGTATTTTATACCATTTACTGGATATTCCAATTTAAACATAAGTATATAGGTATCAGCGTATACATTTTCCACAGCTGGGCAAACTACGCGGCCCCACTGCAGTTTCGTGGACGGTGGAAATATATAAGTGAATATTAATAATATGGTGAAAAAAGTCCGGATGCCGAATCACTTTAAATCAAGAAGAGATAATGATGGGTCTAAATTCTGTTATGATTAAACTGTTTTCTTTTGGTTATGTGGATCATATGGATTGAATATTCAAGTGCAATTGATGTCGCATCAAGGACAGTTGTCAGTGACAAGCGAATTGATAGACATACAGTGAACCTATGGTCGAGTTATTACGTCTGACGCTCGTGACCCCAAAAACAGGTATAAAAATGAACACCAATTTTATTATTAAGCCGTGCCGCGATATTTCGGTACGCGTCAACGGCCGTCGCGCGTCGTCCGTTAATTTTGCCGCCAAAACATCGGACATTTTGTGAACGCGTGCGGACATTTTGAAATGGCGGTGATTTAACGTCGCAGAGCTATCGCTGCGACTGTTCGTATGAATTATCGTCGATTTTGCGCTGCGGTGTGGCGCGTCAGTTGTCGTTAATAACCGATGCATGGTTTCGTGCTTTATTTTTTTTTATGTCTGATCAATCGATGAAAGCTTTAAAGTTGGTCCTATTTGAATAATGAAACTCGTGAAGTAAATATTCGTTTTCGCCCCGTATGATATTAAATACGAAACAGCTTGTTTTAAAGTTCAATTAATGTTGAAATGATACATCAATAGATGTGTCAAGCGTTGCCTCAAATGAAAAAAAAACAATGTGGATAAAGGTCTTTTTTCTTAATGTGAAAAGTTGCCCAGCGAGCAGGCGGTTCACCTGATGTTAAGCGAATACCGCCACCCATGGACATCTGCTACACCCGAGGGTTGCAGATGCGTTGACAACCTTTTGAAAATTGGGTTCCGGCTACCTCACTCACCAGATGAAACGCGAAAGTATTATAATATTTCCACTTTACGCTGGTGTTCTGTGAGGTCGTGGTACTTACCCGGACGAGCCTGCCCATTCTTGCAACAGCCAAGGCTGCTGCGTGGCCCTACCACAGTTATTGTTGGGATTTTCGTTGATATGGCAATCAGACGTTTAGCTTAATGGCTAAAGCGTCAGGGCGCGAATCCTGAAAACGTGTGTTCGATTTCGACAGCGGCGACAATTTCTACAAAGTACTTTTTCTACAAGTTTACTCTTAAGTGCAGAGATTAGCACGTATAAACTGTTACCGTATACATGCAGTCGTATACGTAACGTACGTATACGTAAAATAAAATACTATTGTATGATAGAAACAGAATGATCCCTTTCATGAATGTTCATATTAATATTTAAATAAATTACGACGAATTAAATTATATCGATTAGGAAACGGTTGCAAGTTTGGTGCGTTGTATTCCTGTCCAGCTGCGGTGCGAGGCACTTTAGATTCGAATCTTATGCCCGCGACTCGACAAGAACTTAGTGGTCAATCCCACCAATTAATATAAACACTTCGAGTTCTGCGCCAATGTACTTGTGGTAAAATTATGATAGTATCAAAAATTTAATAAATATAAATAACGTAATAATTCAGAGCAAATTATACACAACTCTGCGAGTATCCAGTCCTGAGCTAAGCAAAGTTCTCTAATGCTAAGCGTACTAAGTCAGTTATAAAGATACCTAAACATACTTTTATTTAAGTATTACTAGGCACTAGAAAAAAATAGTTTTGCATAGCTCATCACTAATTCCCCAGTAAATCGAACCTACAGCCTCTCACACATGAGATAATTATCTCCTACGCCAATATGAATAAGTGCGAAAATTTTAGTGTAAGGAGAAAAAAAACACAACGCCTTCTAACACGTTTTCGACATTTGACGATATTTTAAAGCTCATTGATTAGTTTGTAGTGCTATCCGATTTCTCTATCTCCTTTTAGGATATGAGTTCTCGTTATTTGAATTAAAATTCAGTAATTCGACGACATTATCATTACATATGCGCCAGGTGTCAGTCAGAAATTTCATGTCGCATAACGAGATTTTGTTAATGTTAGAAAAATAATAATGTACAAAGAAGAATAAAAAGAGAATTTAAGATGCGATAATGAGTGGCAAAGTGAGTTGAAAATAGAAATTATTTCGCACGAGTTGGTAACATACATGATGGAGAGCATCGAGAATAGTATTCGATCATAATCGTAGTTTATGAGTAATTTTATGGCCCTGGAAGAAGAAAAGAGTTAGGACCGAAAGGTGGTAGGCGCAAATTATGGTGCAGTAGATGTCAGTAATTTCATCACTGAACCAGAACCCAATTATATATATGAGTATAATGCAGCCTTGGCCACAGCAATCGAGTGGAATAATTTGCCATCGTCTATCTTCCCGTCCTATTAAAACATGGGTGTATGAGGTGCGGTGGACATGTTAACTGAGTAGTATTTACAACAACGTCGCTGCTCACCAACTAAAGTTCTCTGAGATTAAAGGGTAGGAAGTATTGAAAGAAAGAAAGAAGAAAGAAAGTAATTCATTTATGTAACCGAAAAAAAAATAAGGCAGTCTGGTAAAAAAGAATTACATTAAAATTATAAATATTAGGCTATTATTATTATACATTTAGACAGGCAGTGCGATATTAAACGGTTGTTAACTCGGCTCCTGCTCTTTGTTATCCACAGCGACGGTTACAACGATCAGTGAACGGTGGTATCAGTGAACCCTAGTAGACTACATATGTTATACTCGTACCTGGTAGACTGTATTGAACCTGGTAGTGACCAACGTAGTAGTTGGCAGAGTAGTTTACTAATATAAAATCTAACACTCTCTTATCAAATCTATCGGTTTCAAAGACGGGGTGTCAAATCAGTCTGGTTACACAATTTTTTTCTCGTAGGAGTTACATAACTCAAACGAACTGTAAATACAATCTTCATCCTCCGAGTTCTGTTAACACAGGATGAGTTCAAGTTAATTTATTAGTAAAGATACTAACATTGAAAAGTAATGAATTAATTAAATTGAACGAGAAAGTGCATCCATTGAAATAAAGAGGTACCTACACAAAAAAAATTACGGAATAAATTCGCAAATGAAGTATAACATAATGGCATCGGCAATCGTGGTTCAGAAGTCGAATATTCGACCTCGAGATAAAAGAAAAGTATATACTAACGGGGAGATTTGGATTTTTATAATATTTATGTTATTTTCAAATCGTAATTTCTTGTAGATAAATGAACAAAAGCTGCGCGATTCGAACCTACACTTTCTGGTTTCACGCCCAGATGTTTTGCCATCTAAGCTAAGCGGCCGATGACCTGACGGTGTGAAAATTTTGACATCTATCTACGTTCGTTATTTTATTTTGTCACTACACACATCAAAGATATAGATACTTACTTACTTGGCTGGCTCAGCGACCCAAAGAGGATCTTGGCCTCCGACACGAAAAGACGCCACTGCATATATTTTCATTTCTAGTATATTTAATTTCCTCGTGTCTTTAGAGGGATAAAAGGATATTATCTCTGTTGATAATCTTCTATATTCTTATATACTATAAGCTACGCCATTTATCACTTAGCTCGTTATTTGAGATAAGAAAACGTTTCCCTACTTCGTAGCCGTAAATATTTATAACAGATGATTTGTTAAAACTAAAATATTTTATCTTCGCCCCAAATCCAACCAAGTCTAGTTTAATTACCATTAGATTAAATTCATAATTATTAACACTAGAACTGAAGTGTCAATAAGCGAGCACTTTGCTTGTCGTTATAGTAATATGTCTACGAGACGACGGAAACCTGTTTATGGTGGAGTCCATGCTTAAAGCAACAGCGTTATTAAATACATAAATCAAGAATTTAATTATTCAGACTGTACCTTTCCCAGTGCCTTAACCATTTACGGCAACTTTCTATCAGATGAGATGCCAGTCAAGCGCACGTCAGTAAGTTATACAATATCTGTTTTTATTATCAGCTTTAATGCTATTAAAAGCTTCTTACTTTAGTGAGCATCGTATCCGATTTGTTTCGAAATTGACGTGTGCTTATCGTCGTTACGGACTAGCTACCTCTAGAGGCATCCATCAAACGAGCTTCAGTTCGTCGATTAGTGATGTTGCATCACTAGCAACCGCTCATCGCTTATGACTTGTGCCGTAGATCGCGTCGACAAGAAGACAAATTAATACGTCGAGCACGCCTCGCGCTGTATCGAACGGGATTAGACAACTGCTCTGGCGATTGCATTACGCACGGGGACAGTCATCCAGTTGTCTCGACAGCACCTATAGCATCTTTTGCTCGACTGTCTTTGAGCTTACGGTTCGTATACCTAACTCTGACGACCCGTAGCTGACAGCCTCAGCACATTGCCAGTGCGCGTATACACATGTTCTCTTTTAAGCTAAAAGTCAGGCATGTCTTTATGTTTAAATAAGTTTGATTTTGCTTGCAGTCCGCATGTGCGCCGGGCGAAGAGTTCAATACACACACGGAATAAATGTTGAACCGAGTCTTATACTTTGCATTCGTGATCTAAGCTGTTCTCATGTTGCAGATATCTAGACGGTATCG